TATATATATATATATATATATAAATAATCATTATATGTATGCATATATATTAATCATTAATTTTCATTAATTATAATTGATAATTGATCATACACACACATAAAATAACAGTCAGATATTTTGATGTTTTTTTGGTGATCAATGATAATTAATGATACATTTCAACATTACCTTAGCATTGCATCATTTAATAGTCATCATCATGTCATTACTTCCTTCCACCTTTCGTTCTCTCTGGGGCAGAATGACTGTGTGTTGATTGAGTGACGCTAATGGAGTGAGTTCAGGGAAAGCAGTCCAATTATGTCCATGTCTTTGATTAAGTCACTGTGGGAAAACATCTGTGAGCCTCAGTGACTTTATCAATCCATCAGTCATGTAAAAACAACATTGCTTTGACATTAATATGAACTCACAGCCATAACTGATGCTTATTAATGCAGGGTCGCTCCCATCAGACAGCGTGAGAGACAGGACTGATATGACAAGATTTCAGCTGTTTTTGAGTTAGTTTGTGATGGCTTCATGTGAAAAGTTGCAGGACGTTTAAGGTGGTGGCTACGTCATCAACTTCATTATATTGGTGGTCAATCAATATGGGTTTATTACTGGCTATTACTGATAAACCAAGTTGACTGATTGCTGCTGTTACAGTTTAATTAAAATAAGATATTATTTATATGTGAACTTACGTTGAAATTCTTTTTATTCCTTCCAGCTTTTCCATGTTGCATATGTGCTCATCAAGTTTGCCAACTCGCCACGGCCGGACCTGTGGGTGCTGGAGCGCTCCATTGACTTTGGGAAAACATACCAGCCATGGCAGTTCTTCGCCTGTGAGTATAACTGAAATGAGCATGTTATGTACTGAAAACAACGTTGTGAAGAGTGTGTGGCCTTCAGTGATGGGAATGGAAGTGTGGGTTAAGTGAGAAAGGTCAGGTTTGGCCAGTTCTCTCTGTTCTCTGGCATTCGTGTTTGCAACACACATATATTGAGTTGTTTTGTTTGTCACTAAAGACCATCGGTACTGTAGGTGGCAACAATAACTAGAGTCCTTGGCTGGCATTGCATTGCAAGGGAAAGTTATTTTGATTTTACCTTTTCTCAACTGATTTATTCATGTCTCTGTTTTTGCTCCAGCCTCTAAGAGAGACTGTATAGAGCGGTTTGGCCAGAGGACTATCGAGAGGATCAACCATGATGACGATATCATCTGCACAACAGAGTACTCACGCATTGTCCCTTTGGAGAATGGAGAGGTATGGACACAGACAAACTCTGTCCAAACACTGGCTCTTCCCCACTGACTTAATTTTCCTGCTTATATCTCTGTAGATGCACTTATATACTTATAGTACTTATACTTTAGATATTATTGTGATGTCTGACTTTTTATGATTCCTAAATCACTCTCACACATGTCCAGATTGTGGTGTCTCTGGTGAACGGACGTCCGGGTGCCATGAACTTCTCCTACTCTCCTATTCTGAGGGAGTTCACCAAGGCCACCAACATCCGCCTGCGCTTCCTGCACACCAACACGCTGCTGGGTCACCTGATGGGCAAAGCCCTGAGAGACCCCACGGTCACACGAAGAGTACGATTTTTTAATAGACAGAAGTTACAAACAAAGCTCCATCAGATACATGTTTAAAACAAAAAAATATTCTAACTGTAACATTCTCTGCATTTTTTTCGTCAGTATTACTACAGTATTAAGGACGTCAGTATTGGAGGGAGATGTGTGTGTAATGGCCACGCTGAGGCCTGTAATGCCCAAGATCCCAACGATCCATATAAGTAAGTGACTTTTAAGAATATCAGAAGTTGCACCTTCGAACCTTCATCAAACAGGGTGTCCATCCTGCCAGGCTACATGTGCCACAAGAAGTTATACAAATATTACTTTCCTGTACTCATACTTTAACTACTGTTCAAAAGTTTGGGGACAGTATGTGTTTTTTGTTTTTTTGTTTTTTTACTGCTACACTCTCGCCAATATTCAAACATTTCACTGATTTGTCCATACACCTTCATATTTCCATGACTAAGAGCTGAGGGCCATTTATTTCTGTAAATGTGTGTGTGTGCCAAAGCAGGAGGCTGAAATCATACGCATTCATAATCTGCTCTTTCCTGTACCCTGAGGGTGTTAAAATTACCCTTAGTTTCCACTCGCACAGCAGACCACTAGCACAGGCACATACATGCTGCCCTGACGCTCTGCTCCAAGGAGTTTTCACTTGCCTGATTCTCATCTTTTTGCACATATTTTCACCTTACAATATTATTTTTCCTAAAGCACAACATTTTAACAAGAGCTATTATGTAATCCAGAGTTTTAGAAAATAGCCACAGGGTCTCTAATGCCACAAAGCAACCAATGCCAGATCAGGATATTTGCACTAAGGTTTTTAGCTAGAAGGCTCATAGTCAGAGCAGCTCGCTTCCTCTAGGCGCGTGTCTCAGGACAGTGAGTGATGGTGGCTGGGAAGGGACATTATTCAGTTCTGACCAATGCCTTGAAAAGTATCAGTTCACAAAAAAGAAGGGTTTTATTCTCTCAGGTTATTGTCAAACATTTGTAGAAGTTTTTGTGGAATCTATCCAGTGGGTTCAGTTTTTTGCTACTTTGATCATGTTCCAGAAGTTAAACAGTAATGAAATCTTACAAACATTTAAGCGAAATCCTCAAAAATATGTGGTGTGTGGTCCTCTAGTGCAGCAGATCTTTGGACATAAAGCAGATCACATTGTTCATGTAATATTTCAGGAATCTTGAGAGATTTTCCTGGCTCTTTGTATGTCGTAATCAAGATATATCCACCGGTCATAGTTTTTGTCCCTGCTGATAAATAGTCTGTTACTGTATTCGGTCATTCCACAGATTCCTGCAGCGTTCGGTGTGAGCAAACAGGAATATAAACCACCTGGAAGGTGTCAAATGTGTCAGTTTGAAAAAAGAAACTCTCCTGTGAGGGACTTATCAAAACCCAGAGGGTTAATAGAGATCATAGCAACAAGAAACAGATGCTAACATTGCGTTTGGAGAGGAGGGAGAGTTTTCATAACCTTCATGGATCTCTGTTAAATCTGCTGTTCTTTGTGATTTCCTCTGTATAGGAAATGGATTGCGTGTGTGTGTAACTGATATTGTGGAGTTTTACTGATATACATGCGATGGGGATATAGGAGACCAGATGTTTTCCTCTGAGACAGTCACACCTGTATATTTCAACATGCAACACACATTTTTTCTAGGTGTTGGCAATTTAATTGAGTGTTTCTGTGGTGATTTTTTTTTATTATACAAAGGAAGGAATTAAAGGGTTAGTTCACCCAAAAATGCAAATTCTGTAATTAATTACTCACCCTCATGTCGTTCCAAATCTGTAAGACCTTCGTTCATCTTCGGAACACAAATTAAGATATTTTTGATGAAATCCGAGAGCTTTCTGACCCTGCATAGACAGCAACACAACTGACACGTTCAAGGCTCAGAAAGGTAGTAAGGACATCATTAAAGTAGTCCATGTGACATCAGTGGTTCAACTGCAATTTTATGAAGCTACGAGAATACAAAAATAATGATAATAATTTATTTTTTTAAATAGTATGTGAAACGATAGACATTATACAATGGTAAACATTTTTAAGAGTAGTTTTAATAACAAAGTTTGTATCCAGTTAAAGTGATAGTTCACCCAAAAATTAAAATTTGATGTTTAGCTGCTTACCCCCAGGGCATCCAAGATGTAGGTGACTTTGTTTCTTCAGTAGAGCACAAACGAAGATTTTTAACTCAAACCGTTGCAGTCTGTCAGTCGTATAATGGAGGAGAATGGGAATCATGGCTTTAAGAGTCAAAAAACATACACAAACAAAACCAAATTAAACCCTGCGGCTCGTGACGATACATACTGCAATGTCCGAACTGTCCTGAGCGCATCCTGAACGCGTTCGCGTCTTCTTCTTCAGCCGGCTTGTGACGCGTCTTCTTCTTCTTCTTGCTTTACGGCGGCAGACTGAGCACTGCCGCGGTTCGCGTGACACAACGTAAAACCAGACCTCATTTGCCCCAATCGAAAGCATATTTACACTGTCTGAATCGTTCCCTATCGCCTACATTGTACACTACGTGCCACTCACTGTACATGAAATACTACACTGTGAACAAGCGACCGATCTCAGCCGCAGCTTCAGCTT